CCCCAAAACCCCAAAACCCCAAAACCCCTTTGGAGGTGGGTGGGATTGAAATTTTTTGAGGGCGTTGCAGGTGGGGTTAAGGAAATGTAGGGGTGTTTTGGAGGGGTTTTAGGAGGCTTTGAAGTGGAGATTTTGGCTTGGTTGGATGTAGCATTTTGGGTTTTCCTGAGACATATTTTTGCATAACGGGGTTCTCTTTAAGAGAAAGGTTAATTTTGGAAGCAACTATACAAGCCTCTTCATTTTCTTTACTGCTAGCCAAGCTTGTTTTTGATTTACCTTTGATGTGTTTAAAACTCCGAATTTCTTGATTCTCATGATTAGGAATTGAATCAGAAGCTCCTGGCATTGAGAATACAGACTGAGTTCTCCCCAACTTTGGATTTGTCAGTTTCTATACTCTAAAGACAGACCATACCTTAATTTGGGAACTCTTATTCAAAAGTTTGTTATACTGAGACCTTATAGAAATAATGTCCTTTCCAAGTCTTGAGGACTCTGCGATATGCCTCTCAGAGAGTTCTCTATAGAATGCAACTTCCTTCTGTAATGTTCTATTCTTGTCATCCTTCTCTACTATTAAGTCTTTGAGATAAATAATGTTTGACTTTGATTTATCTAATACTTTTTCGAGTTCCTCTATATATTCCTTAGCTTGCTTAATCTCCTCTCTTTGTAAGTGTTCAATTCGAGAGGCAAAACTGTCTTCTGTAATTTGTGATTTCTGTGATCTTTTTAAAGCAATGATTTCTTGATTAGCAAATTTAAGATGCTGTGCAAGGTTCTGATTATCTTGAGCAATTATTTCTCATTGCGAGAGTCAATTCTTATACTCCACTCTTAATTCATTGAGCTCTTCTTGGGCTGATTTATTTCTTTAATTTCATATAACTGTTTTTCGAGTTCGTACTTTTTGATGCTTGGTATTGCATACCATTCATTATTTCTTCAATTTCTCTTTCTGAAAATGTATTCTCTATCTCAAATTTTCTGTTCCGTGATTTATTTCGGTTTGATTGATGATAAAACATCGGACTGAGCTCCATGAGCTACAAACTCATATGTCTTTTCAAGTCTCTTCGATCTTGAGTTACTTTTAGTCCTATTTAGAGTAGCCAAGTCAAGTGTCGAAGTTGCTTCATTTTGGTTGAGTGGAGTATTAAAGCTACTCATTGATTTGGATCTCATTGTGTTCATATTAACAAGATTATTTTCTTCTTCTGGCAATAATTTCGGCTGTAACTTTTCATACTCTTTCTGTGCAATAATTTGGTCTAAAAATGAGTTTAGATAAGATTTTCGATCCACAAAGGTTCAAACTTACCATGATGGTTATCATTGAGTGTATTTATCCTAAGTGTGGTCCATTTTCTCATATTCATAACTAACTTTAATTTAAAATAAAATTCTATACGTTATTTTCAACTTAGAAAAACTTTGGAGGGGTTTTGGGGTTTTGGGGTTTTGGGGTTTTGGGG